GAGGGACTCATAACCTGGGCCTCAGGCTTTAGCCTCTCGCGTATTATAAACACGCACACACATTAAAGAACATATGGTGTGTTTCTTCACATTTGGAACATTCTCAGCAATTATTTCATTACGCTTGTGTCACATCCTGTCTTCTTTCATTCTGCGTCTCCAATAAAATGTGTGTTGGGCGTTGTCACTTTATTCCCCATTCCTTTTACCCTCTCTACTCTATCTTCCATCCTTTTCTTTTCCTGTGCTTCTTTCCGAATGGTTTCTTCGGTTCACTATCTGCTCTTCAACTGTCTCACCTGAAACTCATTTATTGAATTCTTAATTCTAATTATGGTATGCTCTCAGTCCTAGAATTTTATGTTGTTCTTTTTCAAACCTACTGGGTCATTTTTTATATTTTCCAGTTCCGTGCCAAAAAACTTCAGGCTTGACTTTTATCTCCTTGAACATAGTAAGAATCGCTGTGTTGAGGCTTTCTTTCTTTCTTAAAAAAAAAATTTTAATTGGGGAATTGGGGAAGGGGAACAGCCAAGTTGTTGTCCTTCAATTTTAGTTGTGGAGGGCGCAGCAAGCTCAGCTCAAGGTGTCATGTTCAATCTTAGTTGCCGGTGGGTGTAGCCCACCATCCCATGCAGGAGTTGAACCAGCAACCTTTTTGTTAGGAGTACGTGCTCTCACCAGCTAAGCCATCCTGCCACCTGTTGGTAGCTCAGCGGCAGCTCAGCTCGGACGCAGCTGGCTGGCCCATGTGGGAATCAAACTGGCGATCCTGTTGCTCAGAGCTCAGGCTCTTAACCAACTGAGCCACTCTGCTGACCCCCTGCTTTTCTCTTTCTTAAATAAACTTTATATTGTGGAATAATTTTAGATTTACAGAAAGTCCCCGAATGTCCCTCACTCTGTCTGTTTTCCCTAACATTAACATCTTATGTAACCATGGTACAGTTGTCACAATTAAGAAATTCACATTGGTATATTACTAGTAATGAAACTCCAGGCTTCATTAGCATTTCACTAGTTTTTCCACTAATATTCTTTCTCTGTTCTGGGATCCAATCCAAGATACCACATTGCCTTTAGCCTTCAATGTTTTTGAGAAAAATTTAAAATATATGTCTATTTTACCAGCTCCTAAGGGAGGATGGTCCTCAATCCCTGGTCTGCCATTACTTCCCTCCCACATCATTTCACTGTCATTGCTAGAAGTAAAAAACATCCTTAAAACAGTCAACGTAAAAACCTTGCAAGGAGTTTTCAGATTTATATCAGTGGAAGAAGTTGAACAATTGAGTTTGCAACTGGCTGGGGATGGGAGAGCCATAGCTAGAAGATGGAATGTATGTGAGAAAACAAAAGACTTCGTGGTGGCTCAGGCCATGCCTCAGCAACTAACACACTGCCAAATCTCAGTGGCCTAAACACAAAAATGTCTGTCTCTTGCTCACACCAGGTCTGCTGCAGGCTTGGTAGCTGTCAGGGCAGCTTTCCTCCAAGTGCTGACTCACGGATCCAGGCTCTTTCCAGCTTGTGGCTCACCCATCTTTGTCAAGGCCACATCTTCCCCAATCCTGATGTTTCCTTCCACAAGGAAGGAGCCCCACTGGTATACCACCCTTGGTCTGTCTCTACAGCATTTATTTGATTAATGAATTGCAAGGAGAAACAAGACATGTGTCACCCAGCCCTCTTTTCTTCTGTTCCTCCTGGGAGCTGGCTCACCTGCAAAGAGTGTGTGCTAGCAGTGCTATTCCACACCTGAGTGTGACAGGGACGGCCCCAGCCCCACTGAAGGGGGTGGGCGGGTGGACAATAAGTTTTCTAGCACTGCATAAAGTCTGCTTAATTCTGGGGTTCAGAATTTGGAAGCCCACTCTCCTATAGCAAAACCTTGTTACGGCACCTGCATAACCACAACTTACACGACTTACACTTTTATTTTTCATCACCTGAAACAGTGGTTCTCAACCCACTGTCTAGAGACATTTTTGATTGTCACAACTCAGAGGACCGGGTAGGAGGAGACTACCGGTATCTAGTGGTAGAGGCCAGAGATGCTGCTAAACATCCTACAAAGTACAGGGCAGCCCCTGCAACAAAGAATTATTTAGCCCCAAATGTCAATAGTACTGCTGTTGAGCAAATCTGATCTAAGGAAAACAAATGACCATCTTAGATCAGCAGAAGTGACTTAGTCCAAGTGAGTCCAAGCCAGAGGGGAATTGGACTGGGATGACTATTAAGAGGCCCATGTCAAGCTAGGTCCTTTTTTTGGCCAGATTTTGTCTGTGCCCTACTACTAGGCCTCTCTACAGCTGGGACTTAAGTTTCAGTCTGCATTTTCTCAGCTGACTTAGAGTAAATGCAGTCTCCTCAGCGTTCTCCCTTCTCCTCCCTTCTCCCTTAAGTGATTCTAAGTCTTGGAGGTCTTTACTTATCATCAGGGCCTAGAGAAGTAAGGGGCAGCCTTCGTCCTTGTCTGCCCGTGCCAGCATCCACTGGGCTCTCTGACTTCTTGTGGCTGTTTCTTCCTCCCCTCATCCCAGACATGGTGCCTACAGGCATGGCCAAGCCACTATTGGGCACACAGATGTCATGGAAATGTGATGAGGCTGCTGCAAGCCCACCAGTCCAGGAGCCCTTTTGCCCCACAGTTCTCCCATCCTTTGATGACAGGGCACCTCCCAATGTTCCAGGTAAGAAGCAGGACACAAGTGTCCTCTCCTCTTAGATCCCCAGACCTACCAGGGGCATCTATCCATTGCCCCTCATACACCATATGGTGTAGGACCAGCTGCAGGGCCCATACTAGCCCCTCATCTAGGCCCTTCTCCCTTGCTCTTGCAGTACTTCCAGGCCTGAAGAACCTGTTTCTAACAGAGCCCTCAAACCTATCTCCTGGCAAGGTGTGGAGATGGGGGGGGGGGTGAAGGGAAAGACCTCACAATACACATGAAGGAGCAAAGATGAAACCCAACACCCTCTACCTAAAAATTAAAATTTTGGTAACACTTCTTTTACTCTCCTGAAATGCAATTGTAAATAATATGCCTTCTCACACAGTTAATTTTTTTTTTTTTAGCTGAGCCATCCTGCCACCTGTTGGCAGCTCAGCGGCAGCTCAGTTCAGGCGGTGAATCAAACCAGGGACCCTGTTGCTCAGAACTCAAACTCTTGAGCGAGCTCTTAACCAACTGAGCCACTCAGCCGGCCCCCACACAGTTAATTTTTAAAAATCACAATATAATGCCCAACGTGTAATAGAATAAAAAATAATAAAAGGAAAACAACTTGTCACCAAATAACACATATTTCCCAGTGTCAATATGCAAGCCCTGTGACAACAGAAAAACATAATGAAGTGTCAGATGCTTGCCCCTGCTTATAATAAATATTGGGTTGTCGGAAAAGTCATGACGTATATTTTCTATGTTTTTCATCGCAAAACTGTGTCATGACTTTTCCAACAACCCAATAAGTTAAGATTTAAGATAAGTAAGAAGATCATAAATTATTCTGTATAAGGATGAAACAAAAATGAAAGAGCAGAGATATACTATCAAACCCTAGAATGCATATTATTTTAATCTGTGTTTTTGAAACTGCAAAAAACGATTATCTTCTGCAGTCTGTACATGTAATGGGAGTCAGGTCTTGGGCTGATATCATGCATGGTTACAGGGTTTTCACTGACGTAAACCTCTGTCCCAATCCATTAAATATCAGCAGTGCCACCAATCATTGTGAAATTAAAACATATCTCCCACATCGCCAGAATATCACACACACACACACACACACACACACACACACACACACACACCCTCCCCTCCCACAACCACTGAGTTATTGCTTCAAATATTAGTCTTCCAAGTAGGTAAAATTCCAACTGTACATATGGAAGTATATATGCCAAAATGTAAATAGTGGTTTTCTAAGAGAGAGGGGAATTACAGGAAACATCCACATTCTTTTTCTTTCTTTCTTTCTTTCTTTTTTTTTAACATTGCTGTATTGTGTAAAATTTTGCTTACAACCTGTAAGAACTTCGCAATCCAAAACAAAAAACAACAGAGCTATTTTGGAAAACCATGTGTCAGGGCTCTCTCTAATATGCGTGTTTGTTTTGTTCTTTTCAAGGATTCAGTTTCGCTGTGGGAAACGGCTACTTCACTTTTTTTAATGGCAACACAATTCTGCGCAGGAGACCAGTCTTGCATCACAGCCTGCCGGTGGCTCCCGCTCCGCCCACCCCTGCAGCTTCCCTCACCCCGGGTGCAGCTTGCCTGCACCGCCGCTCGGTGGCCAAAGGGAGGTACTGCGCCCTCCGGGAGGCGATGGAGAAGGAGAGGAAGTGGGCACTGCCAGAGGGGCTCTAACCTCTGTACCATTGACCGCTTCGCAGCCTGGTGAAGCTTACGGGCCCCCTCTCAGAATAACAGTCTTTTAAATATATAAAATACATATGCTTAGAAGAAAACCAATAATATTGAAGTGGTTATCAAAATATTTGTAGGTATGTAATATAGGAATAAATATGGTTCTTTATTAGCGCTTTAAATAATCAGTTTTAGTGGCAGGTTAATAACGATTTTCCAAGCAGTGAGGAGCGTACACGATATTTTGAGCTCTCAGTGACCACTTGATGTGCTAGTACTTGTGAATTTTATTGGTGACAAAGTCACAGGTCCTGCTAATACTCATAGTAGCAGGAAAAGATACTACTTAAAGGTTAGTGCAAGTCAATATGTCATTTTTTCCCATCCAAATTCATGGACTCCCTGAATTTTACACACAGATTCCCTGGAGTGCATGCCTGTGGGCATGGTTAAGACCACCTGCAAGGGTCATGGGTTTAGGAGAAGCGCTGGCGTGGGTTTTCAGGCGGGGGGGGGGGCGGGGGGTAAGTAAAGGGAGTGGCAGAGGCGTCTCCCTGGGCTGGGCTGGGCTGGGCGCGGCGTGACCCATACGGTCCCTCCCCTCCCTTCCGCATCTTGATCTCTGTCATCTGGAGGAAATTAAAACCCCTGGCCGGGTGGGGAGCTTCCAGTTCCAGGCGAGTGCTCCCGCGTGTCCACGTGTCCACCATGAGGCCCCTGGTGTTGCTGTGGGGCTGCCTCGTGCTTCCAGGTAAGAGGGAGGCAGGGGGAGTAGTGGAGGGATGTGGGGCTCAGGCCCAAGCTCGCTCTTTGGGTCTGCAGAGAGAGGACCTCCTGAACCTACATTTCCTATCCCCATTGCCTGTGGCTCTTACAGCCCTGCTGCCTGACCCTTCCAGGCTTCACCCCACCCTGCTTGTCCTCAGCCTCCTCAGCCCTCAGGGGGGCTGGCACTTGCTGGTTTTGATACTCAGAGCCAGGTCTTCTCCCAGACCCTGGGGTTCCAGCCTCTTCATGACTGTGTGGCTGTGAGAGAAGCTTTTCCTCTCTCACTTTCTTTTCCCTTCTCTGTGCCAAGCTTATTTGGGCAGACAAGACACTCCCTATACAGTTGCCGTGTTAAACGCAGCATATATTTCTTGAACTTCTGCTATATCACTCACAACAACCCTGAGAGGTAAAGCATTATCCTGTTTAATCAATTTACAGACCTACATTTTTTTTTATCTTTTAACATAAAAAAATCAGGATGCATCTTATAAGTGATGTCAATTGTTCAATTGACAATGTGGGGTTTTTTTGTTTTTGTTTTTAAAGATTTTTATTGGGGAATTGGGGGAAGGGGAACAGACAAGTTGCTGTCCTTTTGTTCTTCAGGCTAGTTGTGGAGGACGTTGCTTCACTGGCCCAGTGACAATGTTATTTTAGTGGTATGTAAAGTTATAGTGTATCTTACATATGATAGCATCATAAATTAAAGGAAATAGGACACTGTCATCACCTATAGATGAGAAAACTCAGAGGCCCAGAGAGGTCAAGCAACTACTCTCCAGTCACACAGCTATTAAGTAGCAGTGCTGGGATTCAGACTCCAGGCTGTCTGAATCTAGAGCTTCCCCACCCACAACCTGTTAATATGCCAGGTTTAGGGAAACAATTATATAGAAATATATATATTTCAACAGCCCTGTCCCAAGGTCCCCTGGTGAGGAAGGGGAATACCAGCTCTGACAGGGCAGTCCCCAGAAAGAGGTGACTGAGGAAGACCTTCTGATCCTGACCCTGGTGCTTGAATCCAAGGAATTCTAACCTCCACCCCTGCTGTGGTTTCAGGTTATGGAGCCCTGGTGGGCCCGAAGGAGATCAGAGCATTCGAAGGTGACACTGTGTCCCTACAGTGCACCTACGGGGAAGAGCTGAGGAAGAAAAAGAAATACTGGTGCAGGAAAACTGGGCTCTTGGTTCAACGCTGCTCTGGTGCTATCTATACAGAAGATGGCCAGGAGAAGACAGAGGGCAGGGTGTCCATCCAAGACAGGCCCCAGGAACTCACGTTCAGCGTAACCCTGAGGAAACTCACCCTGCAGGACACGGGGAAGTACTTGTGTGGTGTCACAATACTGGGCTTGGATAAGATTTTCATGGTCTCTCTGATAGTCCTTCCAGGTAAGGAATGTCTCTCTTTCCCTTTCTGGGGGGCAGGAGATGCAGAGGGGAAGAAGGAAGGGTGGATAGGTGGTTAGTGGCGGACCCAGTTTTCCCATCACAAAGGGAGGTAATGCTTCATGGGACAGGGTCTCAAGGACTCAGTGAAATCACACAGGTCAAATGAGCACCAGCATTTGGGGCGCAGATGTTGCCTCATTGAGCCTCAGCTGTTCTTTCACTCTTGCTGCCCAAGGTCACAACCATAGTAGGTGGCAAAGCAGGATTAAGCCCAGATCTGTCTAACTCCAGGCTCATCAGTTCCTCTGTGTCCAAATGTGGGAGAGAGATGGTCATGGGCTTGGGACGAGATGGACACAGAATAAAAAAGACTCTCTTCCTCCCTGGAGTCAGAGAGATTCCTGAGGATTACTCAGGCTGGGCCCTAGTCACGACATCCGAGAGTCCCACCTGGACCCGCTGAACCAAGGAGAAAGAATCCAGAGAGGGTCCGGGGGAGTGGCCAGCCCCAGTCTGTGGGTCAGTAAGGGTGAGGTAGGTATTTGTAAAGCATTTCACAGATGGGAGCCCGAGGCTCCAAGAGATAAAGTGATTTGCCCCGGGTCTCATAGGAGGAAGTGGTAGAGCCAGGATTCAAAAGCAGGTTATTTCTGGCTTTGGCATTGGCTCTTCACCTCTCCTAGCCCCAGAGCTGAGGCCCAAACCCATCCCCACTGCCAGATCCCCATCATCCATTGGTCTTTATTTTAATTCAAAGAAATAAAGATAAACTCACCAAATAAGAACAGCAGCATCAAAACCACATTAAGCAAAAATCACATTGTTTACAAGATTCTCTGATCTCTACCAATCCTTATCAATAATCAGACCTCATTTTCACCTGGTGGTGATCAATTTTACCTAAATTTGAGGCTCTGCCGTTTTCATTCCTACCCTCATTTATAATAATTTATTCATGTATAATATATACATCACTATATTATCCTTCTATATCAGACCTTGTTGGCCTCCCTCTGCTGACAGTTGGGATATGGAAAATAAAGAAGACTAATGGTAGTGATGTGCTGGTGAATGTTTAACAACTGGCTGGGGAAGCTCCGACTTGTAGTGTTTGCCAATTTCTGTGGCGTAAACGCTCCTGCTACAGCCAATTTCCAGCCACCAATAGTTTAACAACCGGCTCACAAAATTCCTGAAAATTTAGGAATCAGATCTCATGGAGCCAGTGTGAGCTGTCTCAGCACACCACTGAATATGGTGAAGCATTAGAAGAATTCCTAGGAAGGTCAAGACGAGACTAGAGTGCCCAGTATCATTTCTTTTTTTTTTCTTTTTTTAAGATTTTTATTGGGGAATTGGGGGGATGGGAACAGCGCTGGGGAATTGGGGGAAGGGGAACAGACAAGTTGCTGTCGTTTTGTTCTTTAGT